CCTAGCCTATATGTTTTAAATCTTCTGCCTCCTGTGTTTTTCCCCATCAGATTAAATCTGAACAAATATATTATTATATATTATTAATATAATGTAATGTATCTACAGCCTGATACACAGTCAGATTCCACCACTTTATCTTCATTAAGGAAATGTAAGTCTGATAAATGATGACTAAACTTTTTTATTAACTTTATGGTTAACTTATTTACACTTTCCTCGCTCTGACTCAGGCTCTTCTTTTAAAGATAAACGTGCACCGTCTGCTACACATGCATTAATATCTCTACATCCACTGGATTAAAATGGAGGCGCTGCTCAGAGTTTGTTGAACCTCCTACCTGAAATACCCCTCAGGTAGGAGGTTCAACAAACTCTGAGTCTAACCCTGAACTCTGACTTGACTTACCCTGAGCTGGGAAACTCTGAGTATCCGGTTCCAGAACAGCTGATTTGAATGAGTTTAATCAACTCTGAGTAGGTACACCTTGAGTTAAGCACGTGCACAACCACAATAAAAAGCCATCATCAATGGAGCCCCGATACCTCGATTCAGTAGAGGCCACGAATATCGTCGGTCCCCAAGTAGGTAGCCATCAAAGTCTCCTGCAGTTATAATGGATACATTTGGTTGTGTTGAAAGAGAAAGACAATGAATGATATTTGCACAAAGCTTTGGGCTTCTTACCACGTGCAAATCTATTGCTCAGGCTACACTCACGGAAGATCCGGGAATCATGGACGCAGCCTGGGCACTTGGCCTCCACATTAGTGATTATGTGTGTTGCACCACATATGATCTTGACATTGCAGAGGATGACATGTTAGTTGTATATTGTGATGTATAGTCTGTCACTTTAAGATAAAAGGCTAGTTAATGTACCTGAACATTAATGCTGTGGAAGGACGTCATATTAACATAGTCCCCTCATTTTCTGCTGGAGCAGTGATGGGTGTTTGGGGCCATCTATGCACCCTGAGACTAAAACAATAGCTAATAACTGATCTCAGTCTGAGGTTGCAGCAGAATGTCTCTAACATAATATTAAATATAATATAGAATACACAATATAATTTTAGAATACTGTCTGATTTCTACATCAGTTACCTGCAGTCCTGTGGAACTCCTCTTTCATGTTCCTCAGAGGTTTGTGCCCAGGGAACACCACCATGATGGTGGTCTGAAGATCCTCTCCCAGAACTCAGGGTTTCTTATAGAAAACCTGCCAGCGAGCAGGTTAGGTTCACAGACTCAGTTGCCATAGTGACTGACTCACAGTTTGACTTACCTCTCTGTCTGGAAGTGAAAACCCAGAGTTTCCCTCATCTCAGAGTTAACACGCTCAGAGTTTTCACTGAACCAGAGTTTAAATAGAGTTTAAATATATTGATTATTGATTTGTCATCAGAGCCTCTGATCAAACATCTTGATTAACAACAATCTGAGTTTACATTCAATAAAACGTTATTATCAACGTGTCAGACGAACAGTGACTCCTTCTCCTCCTCCTTCTCCTCCTCCTCCTCCTTCTCCTCTTTTAAGCGCATGCACCTCCCTGCCGGAAACGCACAAGCGCACGCGCGCGGCTCGGTCCGGGCTGGTTCACGCGCGCGTCCCGTGTCTTCACCACGTCAGTGACGCGCGCTGTTTACAGAGAGAGGAGGAGGAGGGTTGAAGGAGGACTGACAGAGAGGAAGAAGAAGAAGAAGAGTTTCTTTCTGTCCAGAGAAGAGGAAGAGGAGGAAGAGGAGACGTCCCGCTGTAGTCCTGGTCTCTGATGGACTCACAGAACTCTCAGATCAGTAGAAGAAGAACTTGGAGGAGTTCCTCTTCAAACCTTTTCCTATCTAAACTTTACGCGCGCTCCCGCCGCCTGCGGCTGTAACGCGCATGCTTTCTCCACAGCTGTTTTTGTTTTTTCTTCTTCGGTGAATAATAATGGACCGATTGTGTCACTGGGTCCGGTGGTGACGTCACTGGAGAGACAGAGAGGGAGGACCGGTGCGCGCTGCTGATCCAGATCACAACCAGGGCTGTCGGGAGCGCGCCTCGGCTGAGCGCATGAATGTGAGTGTTTGTTTACAACTTTGACGTCAGAGGGTTTGATTCACTGTTGTTTGTGAAGTTTGTTGTTTGTAACACATGCCCTCACATTCAGATTTATGTTCCCTCACTTTCAGATTCATGTTCCCTCACTTTCAGATTTATGTGCCCTCACATTCAGATTTATGTTCCCTCACATTCAGATTTATGTTCCCTCACATTCAGTTTGTGTGGTTCATTGTCAGCCTAGTGGTGGGTGATAAAACGATAACATATTGTCTCGCGATAAATACTTATATGCCACTCATCCAGGTATCATCGGATAATTCGTAATTCATTTGTAATTGCAATTGTCATTGTAATTCAAAAACCAAAAACGGTAAATCTGTTATTTGATTCAAAACAAAAAATGGAAAACCGTTTTTGGTGTCAGAATCAAATAATGGAAAACCAATCAAACCCCGCCTGTTTTTGCAGATTCGTTTTATCGTTATTCCTTTTTGGACTGAATATTGAACAGGTCTGCGGGACACTCAGCCAATTCGTTTTCACGTTTGAAACCAAAAACGGAAGTCACTTGGTTTTTTTCTTCTTTTTTTTTAAACCAAAAATCGAAAAATGAAATCACGTGATCTATTCCTTTTATGTTTCCAAACAAAAAAAAACAGAAAACCAAATTCAAAAGACCGTGCAATTTTGGTTTTTGCAAATTCCTTTTTTCATTTCTCATTTGGGACAGACAGTAGTGCAGTGGACAGACAGGAAGCGGAAGTGAAGTATAAAAACGTCAAAATAAAATCCAAGAGGATAGAATGGCCATTCTATTAAAAATGTAACAGCCAACATTATGCAAGCACAGGATCTAATAAAATAAATAAATAGGCCCACAAATGCTATGCATATGAAGTGTATTTTATCCAAAAAATGTGTGAAATATTATTTAGTTGCGTAGTGTGAATTAATAGCCTAATTAATTACATATGTGGAAATAGCCTGTGTCGTCCTTTGTTAACCATTTCACATACAGATGTTACTCATTTCAGTGCTGCAGCCACAGTGAAGGGGGTGAAATAATTGATCCAGGAGTAGCTGCAGTGCACAACAACAACCAGCAGGTGGCACATGTGAGCAGTTGAGATGCAGCGTCCAACTGAAACTGTTTGAGAATTAGCAGTACTGTTATATTTTCTGCCAGACCTGTACAGTATACTAACTCATTACACAGACTTAATTTCATAAAGGACATTTCTACTATGATATTTAAACCAACCATCCGTATTATGAAACATGGAATTAAACTTTTAGCTTCTGAAGTATTTAGTTAGACAGCTCTGATGGAGCTCAGGATTTATCAGGAGGACGCTGCTTTACTCAAACAAATTTCACTGTATGAAATATATCCGTGAGAACATGATTTCAGTTGGAGGTGTGGGGTTGCTGAATATTAAACACCCCCTCCCCAAAAAACATTTTGAGTTTATTAAATACCTGCAGAGATGCGGCCGCAGCAGAAACGATAAGTGCGTCTCCCCATTGAGAGAGACACTGTGCGCATTTATGCAAGAAACACAGCAGCCTGACTTCATTAATTATCAGGATCTAATGTTAATTAATGTTCTGTGTTCTTCTACACATGCAAAAGGTCACATACATAGTTCAGGTTCATACAGTGAAATTTGTTTGAGTAGTTTTTCGTTTTTGGTTTAAAATGAAAGAAAAGGAAAAAAACACGTGACTTCTGTTTTTGGTTTCAAACGCGAAAACGAATTGGCTGAATGTCAGCAGACCTGTTCAATATTAAATCCAAAAAGGAATAACGATAAAATGAATTAACAAAAAATAAAAACGGGCTGGGTTTGATTGGTTTTTCATTATTTGATTCTGACAACAAAATCAGTTTTCCGTTTTTTTGTTTTGAATCAAATAACAGATTTACTGTTTTTTGGTTTTTGAATTACAAATGATTAATTTTATTATCGAACCATTGACCTTAACCTGGATTAATAGAAGGGCATTATATGAATACAATGGTGTCATGGTGAGCCAACCTAATTCTTTCCAAATAGAGCTATTCAAGTCATCTGGTGAAAATTCTTGTATTTTTTAATATCGCAATATATATTGCAAAAAAAAAAAAATTATAAAAATCTCAATGTCAGTTTTTTCCAATATCGTGCAGCCCTAGTTGACAATACATTTTCCTCCGTGTGCCTTGACTGATGACTGTGATTGAAATCAGAAGAAAGTGTTAAAATTTATTTATTTTCTCCTGGTCCTTATTTTAAATACATGTAGGTTATTGAAGAATTATCGATAATTATCGTTATTGATCAATATGAACCAGCTATATTGTGATATACTTTTCAGCCATATCGCCCGTCTCTAGCTCTGAGTTGCTCTGCAGTGTAAATAGTTGTTGTCACAGCAGGAACAGAAACTTTCTCCTCCACTGACTCAGACTTTCACCATCTGAAGGGACGTGCATGCTCATCTGCATCTGTAGAGCAGCCAGTAGGAACAAGGCCTCTCTAAAATGTCCTGTGATTGGACAAAGTGTCCTGAAGATAGGAGGACAAGTGGACGTCCAGTTGTCTCTATAATCAGAGGTTATTGTGGCCCCGTCCATCTCAGAGTTACATCCTCCATGTCCTCACGTTTGAATAAGAATCATCACGTTGACACAGAACTGCTGTGTTTCTGCGTTCATGTGGAACTCACGGTTACGACACAGGAAGTCATGAACTCGAGTCTCTCAGTACATTTGTAGTTTTGAGGACATGAACGCGACTTCAGGGGGACTCGTAGGGTCACTTCCTGTGAACGCAGCCTGTATATGAAGGAGTGGAGGTTTCTGTCAGATGGAAGTGTCATCATCGTTTAGCCAATCGGCATGCAGACGTTCATCTATTGGTCCAATCAGAGCAGCTCGTGTGTCCCACACAGGAACACACTTAGAAACATGTGAGAGTGTGAAGACCCTGCAGTGGTCAGAGAACAAAGAACACATACTTTAATCTGACCTGTGGAACAGCAGAACGTCTCCAACACTGAAATACTGAGAGTACAGTGTACTGAGAGTAGCAGTAAATGTACAGACTGAGGGTGATTGTTGTTTCAACAGTTGAGATCTTGCAGAACCTGAACTGAGCACACACGCACGCACGCACACACACACACACACACACACACACGTTAATCCAGGTTGTGCAACAGGCAGCAGACTGAGGCAACAACAAGCAGCAGCAGCGTGGTGACTCAGAGGAAACAGGAAACACAGAAGAAGAAAACCAGTTTCAGACGAGAGACACAGACTGTAGCAGGGGACAGACAGACAGGAAGTGCAGTGAGACGGGGTTGTTACTCTGCGTTTGACTGGACCTGAGCAGACAGACTGTGTTTGTTTTCATACGTTATGGGGACATGAAGCAGGTACCACACTGTGAGGACTCATCTCCTGTTTGGGGACAACAGCAGGTAGAGTGTCAGAGTGTACACCTGTGTCAGCGTCACGGTACTAATAAAGTTTTGTCTATTTGAACACTCCAGTTTTTAACCCTTTAAAACCTTGTGACGTCGTGCCGACGGCCGCAGACCTGTGTTTACATCATTCTGTTTATACGTACATATAAATAAGAACAGTGACAGACACAGCGTAAACACTCCTGTCCTCCGTGTCGTCGTGTCATTACCTTGTGTTACCGTACCTGATGGCGGTGAAAACATCTTCCCCGTGACGGCCACCGGAGGTCGCTGCTCTCATGATTCTGTTTGAACTGATGTGAAATAAAAACTGTGGTAGAACATTCATTCTTTCATCAGCAGGAAGTTCAGGCTTCTTCTTCACCACCAACATGTTGTACACTCATAATGACATCATCACGCCACATTACATGAGGTGTAAAACCCACATGAAACACACATGTGACGTCATGCCAGAAGAACCAGGAACACTTTTTCACTGCTGAAAAACTAAATAATGTACAGGCAGCACAGTTGTGCAGTGGTTAGCACCGTCACCTCACGGGTTTGAGCCCCAGGGTGAGCGAGCCCTTCTGTGTGGAGTCTGCATGTTCTCCCCGTGTCAGTGTGGGTTTCCTCCAGGTGCTCTGACATGTTCTCCCTGTGTCAGCGTGGGTTTCCTCCAGGTGCTCTGACATGTTCTCCCTGTGTCAGCGTGGGTTTCCTCCAGGTGCTCTGACATGTTCTCCCTGTGTCAGCGTGGGTTTCCTCCAGGTGCTCTGACATGTTCTCCCTGTGTCAGCGTGGGTTTCCTCCAGGTGCTCTGACATGTTCTCCCTGTGTCAG